GAGGGAAGTAAAAAGAGAGGAAAGCCACATGCTAGATGGATGGACTTTATTAATGTGATCACAAACATGAGTTTGCAGGAGCTGGGCAGAGCAGTAGAGGATGGGGGGGGGCTGGAGATGTCTAATTCATAGGGTCACCATGGGTCAAGATTGATGGGAAGGCAGTTAACAACAACAACAAATTTTATAAGAGTTGCTGTAGGCATGGGGTTAAACAAGTCTATAAAAGCAGCCTCTTGTGAATTACAATTGCTTTGTATTTCCTTTGACACATGGAGTTGGCTCTCAGACCTAGATAGTGAAAAGAATTTTTTAGTATTATTATTATGCATAAAATTATTTGCAGAATGGTGAGCTTAAACACTGGCCTCCTTCTCAAGAGAGAACAATGATGAGATTCGCTTTTCCTGTGCTGTGTCTCTATCTTTTTTTTCTCCCTTTCTCTCAGGGAAGCTTAGTTAGAACTTGATTTACATTGCACTAATTCCTTAATAAGAGAGAATATTTAAGCATTTCTCCTCTGTGAACATGTTAGTGGTAGTTGTTTGGAAACCAGTGCTTTATGCAAATAAACAATTATTCCCCTCTAATAGTGGCACCTAATGCCTGCCATATCAGTGGGATTGCCTTATGCCTAGAGAAAGCAAATGCCTAGAAAGGTGGGCAATAGTAGAGATAAGCAGTTTCAGCTGAGTCAAGCCAATCCAGGTCATAGATGGCTAATCTAGGGATTTCAGTGAAGGTGAAGAGAAGCAAAGTAGCAAGGTCTTGGCCATCTCAGAATCCATCCCAAGAGGCCAACTGTCATGCTAACAAAAATCAAAAAGGTAAAGCCAAAGAGATGGACAATTCAGGCCAGTCCAGAAGTTAAGAATCTAAATAATCCATAAGCACCAAGGACTTTGATAGCTGAGAAGAACAAACTGTGGCATACAACAAGAATTCAGAGCAACTGCTGAAAAAATTATAGTTGCTTGACCTTGAAATACTGGGTGTTTAATTGCTCAGTGTTTGTTATGAGAGTTTCTACAGCAAATCTTGACCTTCTGACACTGCTGCTTTTCCCATCAATTCACTGCAAATGATGGAGTTTCTCCTTTGTGTACAACCATTCTGGCTGAGGAGAGGGGGGAATATTGTTGACGATCCTCATCAGGTATATTTGCTACTAGCTGCCCAGATTCTGAGATGGAGCCATCATCTGGAGTCAAACCCCTTTTTAGGTCTGATTCCTCTGCATAATATTCCTCAGATTTTAGTGTTAGTTATGACCCTGATTGTGAATTCACTTCTAGTTTACTTCTTCTGGGGGGGGGGGGCAGGGACAACTCTTCTGGGCTTAAATCTATCAGAGAAGGTCCGGGCACACTTACACCCTATAGCCTCTAGGGGAACAGGCATCTGCATTCCTTGGCCCCGTGGCTCAGCTTCGCCACCCCAGGAAGGAGTGCTAAAATAATGCTCCTTCTGCAAATCACTGAAGGTGCGCCGCAAAAGGCTGCTGGTGCACCTTCGGTGTCTTTTACGCCGCAGCGTATGTGAACACTGCGGCGGATAGTCATCCTCGGAGTGCCGGACGTGCAGAGGGTGCAGCTGCCCCTCCCCTTCCTTGCCCTGAAGACAGCACTTTGTGCCACCTGCTTCCCCCCTAGGAGAGGCTGCAGCAGTTTGATTTATCCTACTGGAAAGGGCAAGATTCTTATCCCTTCTCTCCTCTACCCCTTGCTGAGTTAAAGGGCCTCGGCAGACGACTAAAAAGGTCATCCTCGAGGCCCAGAAGAGGAGGAGCCACCGCACAAGCGGCGCTCCTTCCTCTTCCTGAGGTCGCCCTGGAAGCTGCCGGCCCTCCGCACTGCCGGCGCTTCCAGGGCAACCTCCCGCCGCAGCGACCACATGCGCTGTGGCGGAAAAGACAGTGAAAGTGCACCCTACGTGTTTAGGGCGCACTTTCGCTGTCTTGAGGAAGGAGCGCTGATTTAGCGCTCCTTCCAGGGACGCCGCAGGAGCGCCGCGGTGCGGCTAACATGGCCCCGCTGCGCTCCAGACCAGGGCGTCCTGGATGCCCTGGTCTGCATCCCCCCTCAGTCTGCAGTAATTTCAGTAAAATGCAAAGAGGGAAAGTGGGAAAAAGAAAAAACTGAGACATTTTTAAAGTGGCTGAAAAAGTGGTACAGCAGAGCATTAATCAGGACTACCTTTGAAAAAACTAGGATATTTAGATATGTCATCCCTGGACTGAGCCAGGAAGATCCAATCTGAACTGATCTCTCTGAAGAGGATCCATCTCTCCTGTTACCTGAGATCCCTTAAGTCAGGGATAAGCAACCTGCTTATGGGCCTTTGCAGACTGCCAGAAATAGTGCACATTAAATTGAGTCACTGCCTTGGTTCAGTGCTAGGGAGTCATGGGAATTGCATTTTTTTCTGAGACATTGAGCCTTCTCTGTCAGAGAGCTCTGGTGCCACAATAAAATACAGTTCCCATGATTCCCTAGCACTGAGCCTGGGCAGTGACTCAGTTTAATGTGCACTATTTCTGGCAGTGTCCAAATGGGCTACACTTCCCATCTACCACAAGCAGCACAGAAAACAGTGTGGAATGCTGGAAATTACATCTGGATGACTCTCTTTGCCTGCATTTTCTTTAAGTGGAGTTGCCAAGGATTGAACTTGTGACTCTTGATGCTACAGTCTTATGCTCTTACAACTGAGATACTGCCCCCATTGCTCCTGCCAGGGTATGCAAGGATCTTAAAAATTCTATATAAAAAATGAGAAAACAAGTGGAAAGAAAGGAGAGGGCAACAATGAATTTTAAGCCTAGCAAATTCTAGTTTGCCACCTGGGAAGCCTGCACATGTGTCCAGGTGGAGACAAGCTTTTTAAAAACTGATTTAATTAAGTGTTTTGATTTGATTTTGGCAATCTTGAAGGCAGAGCAAGTGAGCTGCAATATTTTAGAGCAATGAGCATTAAGGGAAAATAGTGACAATGGTGCTCTTGATTCAATTAACAATTAACAATGGAGGGGATACTAAAGGTCAGACAACTTGAACATGAAAAAACAACCAGCTTGGAAATACTGCACTGTGCCACACCTGCTGTGTCGAATGCTCCCAGGTTCTTTCAGCCTAGTGGATGACTTGTGTGTATATTCTTTGGAATATGGTTGCTTATGCAAATAGATGGGTATCAATCCTATGGCTGAGTTTCCACATCAGGATTGCATAGGATAAATCTGTTTGTGCAGACTGGCACAGTTGTGCAACAGAATAATCAACCAAATGTGCAAGAACAGTCAATATATATATAATGTGTATCTGTGCGAAGAATGCAATTCTTCTAGGGATGTAATTTTTCATTTTCTTCTTGAAAGTAGCAATGAATTTTCTTCCCAGTGTGAGAAAGCCTTTGAAAACCATGCAGTTTTCAAAGACTATTCACAATTCAGGACTCATTTTGTGCAAAATTTGCACGTGGTTGTTATGTGATGAAACTGGCATTTTCTGCAAAGGAAACAGCACTTTCTGCATGAAAAATAATATGTCAATGCAGAAATATTTATTCCTGTGTATAAACCATAGTTTTCTGAGGAGGAAAATTCTGTTTTCTGTACAAATCAGCTGCGAGTGAATTTTATGGAGAATAAATCCCCAATTACAGCATTTTCTATGCAGAAGAAAGGATTTTCTGTACAGGAATAAATATTTCTGCATTTAAATATTATTTTCCATGCAGAAAATGTTGTTTCCTATGCAAAAAAAATTTGTTTTCTGAGCAAAATAACTCCATGCGAATTTTTCATAAAATAATTCCCATCGTGCAAAGATTTTCATAATCCAGGCTTTTCTCATTAGGGTTTCTCAGCACTCATATATTTACTTTTAAAAAAATATTTCTGAATATTCTTTCCATCCTTACATTCATTGCTATGTTTCTTCTCAAAGGAAGCAACAAGTAATTTTAGGTATTTTCTTCTTGCTGTGAGAAAAACTTTGAAAACCATGTGGTTCTAAATCCTATCCACAATTAGAGTCCTATTCTGTGCCAAATTTGCATGTGGTTATTTGATTTTATTTTTTTAAAAAAAAATCATTTTCTGTGTATGGAAAACCACAATTTCTAAGCAGAAGTATTATTTTCTGCACACAAAATGTTTTCTGTGAAAATAACCCACGTGCAGAATTTGTACAAAATGTCCCCAACTACAGAATTTACAACATGTTTCTGTGAAGATAAATTATTTCTGCACAGAAAATTATGTTTCTTTCTTGGATCACCTGAGTAGGTTAGGAATAGGAGGCACTGTATTGCAGTGGCTCCGTTCCTTCCTTGCGGTCAGATTCCAGAGGGTGTTTCTCAGGGACAGTTGCTCTACAAGTAAAGAGCTTAATTGTGGTGTCCCACAAGGTGCCATCCTCTCCCTGATGCTATTCAATATATATATATATATATGAAGCCGCTGGGAGAGAACATTCAGAGACATGAGGCAGGGTGTTATCAGTATGCTGATGACACCCAGATATATTCCCCATGTCTCAGTCTTCAGCTTTGACTTCAGATGGTGTCTCTCCTCAGATGGGGTCACACTCTTCTCTAAGGACTGTGTTTGCAGTCTTGGGGTGCTCCTTGACCCGTCGCTTCAGATGACTAATCAGGTAAATGCGATGGTTAGGAGTGCCTGTTATCAGCTTTGGCTGATGCGTCAGCTGTGCCCTTTCCTGGAAGTTGGGGACATTGAAACTGTGATAGATGCTCTGGTAAACTCCCATCTTGATTTCTGTAATGCACTCTACATGGGGCTACCCTCATGCTTGGTCTGGAAACTCCAATTAGTACAGAATATGGCAGCCAGATTGGTCTTGGGTACAATGAGAAGAGACCATATTACACCAGTTTTAAAGTCACTTTACTGGCTGACTATTAGTTTCTGGGCACAGTACAAGGTGTTGGTTATTACCTTTAAAGCCCTAAATGGCTTGGGTCCAACCTATCTTTGAGACTGCCTCCTCCCATATAATCCATCCCACACACTCAGGTCTTCTGGGAATTTGCTGCAGCCTATAAAAACTAGGCTGTCTGCAACCATCCAGAGGGCCTCCTTGGCAACTGCTCCCAGACTATGGAATGGCCTGCTGGATGAGATCCATCATATCACCACCTTAAACAGCTTTTAAAAAGCTGTTAAGATGGATCTCTTCTGGCAGGCCTTTCCTGATTAGATATTTCAGCCTCAAGAGTTAGTCCATCCTTACTCCTATTCTCTACCACAGTTATTGTTATTTGTCTGCTTTGTCACCGAAATTTATTTTAACTTGTTTTAATTGTTTATTGTTTAATGCTATTTTAAGGGGTGGATGGATCTTGGGATTTGTATTTTTGTATGGTAATTTATGGTATTTTTAATGTTGTACACTACCCCGGTTGCATTTGCAGAGGGATGGGATAAAAATTATTATTATTATTATTATTATTATTAACAGCCACATGCAAAATATGTCACAAACCTCAAAGATTCTCATCGGCCCAGGATTATTTTCATCAGGATTTCTTGACACACACAAAAACATGTCTTTTCACCTATTTTTCAAATATTTTCAAATATCTTTTCAATCTCTAACCAGTACATGCCTATACAAGTCCATGCACATCTGTATGTGCAAAGGCATTGAATGCACCACATACAGAATCTTGAATTGAATTTGGACGTTCGGTATCAGACCAAAATGTGCATTCATTTCTGCAAGGAAACTTATACATATTGAAGCCCTGGTGGCACAGTGGTTAAATGCCAGTACTGCAGCCACAACATTGCGAGTTCAATCCCAGGGGCTCCAGGTTGACTCAGCCTTCCTTCCTTTCATAGGTCGGTAAAATGAGTACCCAGCTTGTTGGGGGCAATTGACTAACACATTGTAAACCACTTAGAGAGTGCTTAGTTCACTATGAAGTGTTATAGAAATGTAAAGTGCTATTGCTATTGCTAAGGCATGGACATAATTCCAGCTAATGTATAAATAATCAATATCTCTCCCTTGGAGAGATGTGATAAAAACTTGCATTGTTATCCCCTCCTTGTTGTTTCAGGTACATTTTAAAACCTCTGTCCTCATGGGGTTTGCTTTTCATCTGGGATCCAATTCCACTGTGGCTCTCTCTAATCACCCTCCATACACTCCTATGAGAATTAAACAATGCATGACCAAAAAGACAAGAACTTGGTTGCCAGTGTGTGCATGGCTGTTGTAGCACAGATGGCATGGCACTGTTCACCCAAGCAATTAGATGCCAGAAAGAAATGAACATGTGAGGACAAGAAAAAAAACATACTTTCTAATTTCTCTACAGTTCATCCATGTCCCACCATCCTACTCAAAGCCATCTGTGTTCTGATTGCGGATCTTTAGGCATTACATGTAGGGATAACAGGGTAATGCTTGTAATGTCTTCAGCTGTAATAAAGAAAGATATAGCCATGTTAGTCTGTAGAATCAATTCCTTGAGATATCTTGCAACACCTTTGAGACTAAAGAAAGAAATTGGCAGCATGTCTACTAATGCATCTGAGAAAGTAGACTGAAGTCCACAAAAGCTCATACTGCCAATTTTTTTCTTTCAGTTAGTCTCAAAGGTGCTGCAAGATCTCTCTACATAGTGTTATAAAGAAAGTAAGCACATAAGACACATCCAGTGTCATCTGAGGGAGAGACACTGGGCCCAGCACCTTCGGGCCTAGTGTAAGAAGAAGAGCCCTCCCTCCATTCCATCCAGTGTCATCTGAGGGAGAGACACTAGGCCCAGCACCACCCAGCCTAGAATAGGAAGGAGGGATGGGATTCGAATGTATCTGCTTTAATGTTTGTTTTGATCTTTGAAATGCTGTACGCCACCCCGATTGCCTAGCAGAGGGGCAGGATAAAAATAAAATTATTATTATTATTATTATTATTATTATTATTATTATTATAAGAGCCTTGCTGGACCAGCCCTATTTTTTCCAATATTTTATTTACACTGTGACCAATCAGTTGCCTTTAGAAAGCCCCACAGGAGAACATGAGTCTAAAGGAACAAGCATAGGACTGGTGGTGCCACTTAGGAACCACACCTCCATCATCATAGTGACACTGTGGCAGCACCCTTTGGTCTGCAAAGTTCTATAAGGGCAGGGAGGACGTTGGGAGATACAAATCCCAAGAGCAAGAATGAAAAGTCATGCAGGTCAGGGGTAGAAGCCACAGAGCTAAGAGTTGACAAGGAGAGAATGCCTGGACAAAGAAGAATGAGGAATACAAATATGGTGAAAAACATACTCAAAGGAGTAGAAGAAGAAATTTGAGTAGTATATGTGAGTATGCTAAAAATTACAAATGTTTTCTCTTGGGGGGATACCACCACCCCACTAAAACAGGAAAGCAAGTAAAATGACTTCCACATTGATAACAGTTATTGGACTCAGCCAAAATGCAACCCACAGTGGCAAAGTGTCTGTACTGCAGCCACAAAGTTATGAGTTCGATCCCAAGGGCTCCAAGGTCCACTCAGCCTTGCATTCTTCTGTAGGTTGCTAAAATGAGTACCCAGCATGTTGAGGGCAATTAGCTTACACATTATAAACTGCTTAGAGAGTGCTTAGTTCACTGATAAGCAGTATAGAAACGTACTTGCTATTGCTATTGATATGTTGCCCCATCTTCAGTATGTATTTGAGTGAAATGACTG